TTTTAACTAAAAATCTGACGGAATCACAGAAAATAGAATTGGAAAGAGCAATGGGACTGCAAATAACAAAAAAAATTAAATATTTAGGTATTTGGTTGACCACACACTGTATAATAATAAAAGAGAATAATTATACTAAGCTTATACAACAAACAAAGAAAGATTTAGAATTATGGGCCAAATTACAACTATCACTATTAGGAAGAATAGCGGCAATCAAAATGACTATCCTACCCAATTTTTTATATCTATTTCAAATGATCCCCATTAATTTTTTTTCAATGAGATGAATAAAATTACGGCAAAATTTATATGGCTAGGGAAAAAACCTAGAATAAGAATGAAAGTGCTACAAGATAATAAAAGCAGAGGTGGCTTTGGACTCCCAAACTGGGAGATGTATTATAAAGTGACAGTGTTAATTTGGACTAAGGCAGCAGTCACCCACTGGTGGTCTGCGAGAAAATTTTGGTGGGCTGCAGAGAAATTTCACCCCCAGAGCACCCCCCCAAAGCAATTAATCCAGGCTGCGCAGAAACACAAGGCTGCACCACCCACATGGCCCGCGGGAACCCTCCCCACCCACTCACTCCTTACCCGGCAAACTTGCCTGCTAAATTGCTATTTTTCCGACCATCAGCTGTTCTGCTATGCCGGGAGATTTAGATTAGCTAGGAAGTAGGAAATGGTTGGATTTCTTGCTTTCTAGCTAGTCTTTAGATCTTCGGCTCTGCTTTTAAGCACAGCCGAACCTCCCTTAGGACTGAAGTTTCTATTATTCAGTGCAGACTCACAGCAAGCAAATTTTATGTGACAGACTGAGCTAGCTGATGGCATAGATAGATAGATCACTGAATGATTCTGTGAGCAACTCAATCTGCCTGCCTGCTTTGCCTGATTTTGGGTAAAAGTTGATCTTAAAAACAAAAAAACAAAACAGTATTTACATAAATATTTATAATATTTACATACAAGCCATGCCCAGCCAGTCACATGACCACCAAGCCACACCCACAAATTAGGCCATGCCCACAGAGCCGGTTAGCAGTCCCTGGGATTTAAAATTATGAGTTTGGTGGTCCCTGAGGTCCAAAAGGTTGGGGACCCCTGGACTAAGAAATTGATTAATTTAAATAATAAGCGAATATTAAGTTTAGAGGGCCATGACCTGCAAAAAGGATGGCACTCCTTTTTGTGGGATACAGGAACCAAAAAACAATCATTTTTCCATAGACATTTGATTAGAGATTCCCTTATACAAAATTAGATTAAAATAAGGAGACAGTATATGAAAATTCCAATTTGGCTATCTACGATGGAAGCTATGATACATCCTAACAATCTGGACCTATGCAAAATGACAAAATATAAAGAGGTTTTAGACACACAAGGGAAGTTAAAATTGAATCAGGATTTCCAAAAACAAGGGATATGTATTGATTGGTGGGCATATCTCCAGTTATAAAAAAGATATAAAACATTTTGGAATATATTCGAAATTACAACAACTGGATAAAATTTTATGAGGTCCAAATGAAAAAAACATTACAAAAATTTATAAACTTTTGTTAGAGGTAGAATTAGAAGTTGTTGTTAAGGGATGTATGATAGCTTGGGCTCAAAACATTGGACAATATAAATTTGACAGATTGGGAAAGTATTTGGAACCAAAACTACAAATTAACAAAATCAGCGTCATACAAAGAGAATATTTATAAGATGTTTTATAGATGGTATCTGCCCCCAGGCGAGATTGGCGAAGATATACCCCAAAATGAGTCCAGCATGTTGGAAATGTAGAAAGAGGGTACTTTCTATCATATGTGGTGGTCTTGTCCTGAGGCCCAGAAATACTGGCTTAAAATTAAATATTGGCTGCAAGAAATTCTTAAGGATCAAATAGAATTGGAACCAGAATTATTCTTGTTAGGGATAGTTTAAAAGAAATATGGAAAAAACATAAAATATATTGTATTACATATTTTAACGGCTGCCAGAATAGCTTATGCTCAATGCTGGAAGCACAACTGTATTCCCCCAGATGAATTGATCATTCAAAAAATTATGACATGTGCTGAAATGGACAAACTGACCTTAATGTTACAAGAGAAAGATGAGTCTGAATATTACAAAAAATTGTATAATTGGATTGAATTAAGACAGATGGAAAATGAAGGAATTTAAGATAAGCAATTTATAGATTAAATGTATATATTTGCACAAATTATATATATTTGTAAATATGCACAAAAGCGAATTGTATGAGATTGAAGTCACAGAACTGTTAATGTATTTTTTTGTTTTTAAAAGACATAAAAGACTAATAAAGTTTGTTTTTTTAAAAAAGAAACCAAGATTGAACTGTTTGGCCTCAATTTTGAAAGTTATGTCTGGAGGAAACCAGACACCACTCATCACCTGCCCCAAAGTGAAGCATGCTGTGGGGTGTTTTTTATCAGCAGGGACTAGGAGACCGGTCAGGGTTGAGGGAAAGCTGAATGAAGCGAAGTACAGGGATATCAATGAAAACCTGCTCCACAGTGCTCAGGACCTCAGACTGGGCGAAGGTTCACTTTCCAACATGCCAACGATCCTAAGCACACAGCCAAGACAACACAGGAGTGGCTTGGGAACTACTCTGTGAATGTCCTAGAGTGGCGCAGCCAGAGCCCTGACTTGAACCCTACTGAATATCTCTGGAGGGACCTGAAAATGGCTGTCTACCAACAGTTGCCATCCAACCTGATTGAGCTTGAGAGGATTTGCAAGGAAGAATGGCAGAAAATCCCCCAATCTAGGTGTGCAAAGCTTGTCGCATGATATCCAAAAAGACTTGAGGCTGTAATTGCTGCCAAAGGTACTTCAACAAAGTACTGAGTGAAGGGTCTGAATACTTATGCCAATGTGATATTTCAATTGTTTTTTAACAAATTTACAGACATTTCTAAAATTATGTTTTCTTTTTTTTTTGAGTTTTAAAACGAACTTTATTTGCAATGGATTAAAAAGATATAAACCTACGAGTGTACAGAAATAAAAAATAGTAAACATACTAATAGGACAGTAAACATATTTCTTTCTATTACATTTGATAATAGGTTTGACAGTTCATAATAAACAATAACAACTAATAATCGGCAAGTACTCCTTGTCTCTTATAGATAACATATTAATAAATAAGTAACACATGTTACTCTACTATTGCTATTGGATTATAACTGTATTATTTAATCATTAGAACCTTCATAATGTTTATGTATTAGAGGAGAAGCTTGAAACCATTATTTTATATATTCAGTATATACAACTATATATAATATGTTTCCTGGGTTCATTTATTCTGTACATTCTTTTTCTTGCGTTCTACCCAATTGTACCATTTATCCCAGACCAGGTAGTACTCTGAATCATCCTTCCCATTTAATTTGAGTGTGAGCCTCTCCATTTCGGCACATTCATAAATTTTTTGAGTAATAATAAGTATCGGTGGTACGTTGGGCCTTTTCCAATATTGCGCCAAAGAAATTTGCGCCGCTGTTAGTAAGCGGATGATCAGGTATGTCACTTTGGGAGAATAGTCCCCTTTAATCATCCCCAGGAGGAACAGTTCCGGTTTCCACTCCAGTCCACATTCAATCATTTCTTCTATCCATATTCTTATCCTTGTCCAATATTTTTTAATCTCAGGGCATGTCCACCAAAGGTGGAAATAGGTACCAAATTTCTCTTTACATTTCCAACAGCTTGGGTTTGCTGTTGGATATATTTTAGCTAATCTAGAGGGTGCCAGATGCCATCTATATATCATTTTATATAGATTTTCCTTGTATGGTATTGATTTTGTTAATGTAAGATTCCTTTGCCAGATTTCCTCTCAGTCGTCCAGATCTATATTATAACCAAAGTTTTTTTCCCAGGCTAGCATTTGTCTTTTCACAATTTCCTCAGCCAATTCGTATTCTAGTAGGTAATTATATAATTGAGATATCATATTTTTCTCCAGGCCCAGGAGTCTTTTATCTAATTGAGTGTCTTTTATTTCAAATCCATAATCTTTTACATCCCTATTATATCTCATTTTTATTTGAAAGTAGGACCAATTGTCAACAATTATTTCTTGGGTTTCTAACTCCTGAATCGATTTAAGCTTTCCCTCATTGTCTATAATTTGGTGGTATTTGAGCTTTTTGCTAATATCCATTGTGTTGGGATGGAACATTGCCTCCATTGTTGAAAGCCACCTCAGAATTTTAGTGTAATGGTTCCTTCTAATATCTGTCCAAATTTTAATCAGAGATTTACGTATAGCGTGTCTGGAGAAATATGGCTTTTATTGTTTGGGTTCCACAAAAATGCGTGCCGCCCTATTTGTAAATCATGGCCCTCAAGTGTTAAAGATTATTTTATTACCCAATTTAATCCAGTCCTTTATCCACACTAGTGCCACCGCTTTGTAATAGGTCTCCCAGGCGGGAAGTCCAAAGCCACCTCTGCTTTTATTATCTTGTAGATAGGTTTTTTTTATTCTCGTTTTTCCCCCTGCCCAAATGAATTTCATAACAATTTTATCCAAGTCTTTAACGAATTTTTTATCCAATAATATCAGAATTGTTTGAAATAAATACAAAATTTTGGGTAGTACATTCATCTTGATTGTTGCTATTCTACCTAATAATGAGATTTGCATTTTACTCCAATTTTCCAGATCCTTTCCAATTTGTTGCAATAATTTGATATAGTTGTCTGCCCTCAGGGTTGATGCTCTAGGTCTTAGCCAAATGCCTAAATATTTGATCTTATTCACAATTTGTAATCCCATCATTTCCTCTAATTCTTTTTGTTTACTGTTTGTTTAGTTTTTAACTAGCATTTTAGTCTTTTCCTTGTTTATTTTTAATCCTGCCAATTTGCCAAATTTATCCATTTCATTTAATAATACTGGTCCCGAATCTATTGGTTCTTCTATGACAAAGACCATGTCATCCGCAAATGCTTGTAATTTGTACTCTTGACTTTTAATTTTTGTTCCCTTAATTTCTTTGTTCGATCTAATTCTGTCCAATAATAGTTTCTAGAATTGTTATAAAAAGCAGAGGTGACAGCGGGCATCCCTGCCTGACACCCTTCTTTATCTCAAATGGTTTGGTAGCTTCTCCATTTATCAGTACATTTGCCTTTTGTGTGGCATAAATTGAATTTAACATTTTTACAAAATTACCACCAAATTTCATCAGATTAATCTGGTATTTCATGAAATCCCAATTAAGATTATCAAAGGCCTTCTGCGGATCCAGGAAAACAAGAGCCACTTGGTTTCCTGGGTGCAGTTCATACAATTCTAATATATCTATTATCGTTCTCATATTATATCTAATCTGTCTCATGGGAAGGAATCCATTTTGGTCAGGGTTAATTTTGTCATTGAGCACTTTCTTTAATCTTTCTGCCATTACAGTCATGAAAATTTTATAGTCTGAATTTAGAAGAGATATTGGTCTATAATTCTTTATTTGATTGGCATCTGCACCCTCTTTAGGAATTAATGTAATACAAGGTTCCTTCCATGATTCTGGAATTTTAGCTTCCAGTAATACCTCATTGCAGATCTCTAGCAACACATTTTCTAGTATCTCTCCATCTGGGCCTGGGGTTTTGTTGCTTTTTTGTTTTTTAATCGCTTGTTTTAATTCACTTAAAGTTATTTCTTTATAAAGTATCTCCTTTTTGTCCTCTGGCAGCGGATGTAAAACTCCTTCTTTCAAATATTCTTTCATTTTGTTTAGATCAACTGTATCTTGCTTATATAAGTTCTCAAAGTACTCTCTTACAATTACCTTCTTTTTTTCCAAATCAGTTTCTATTACTCCATTTTTGTCCACTAGTTGGTATATTGTTCTTTTTTGGTTTTCTTTTTTCAGTTTGTACGCTAACCATCTACCAGGTTTATTTGCATGTTCAAAATAATTTTGTTTTATATACTGTAGCTTCTTGGTTAGTTCCTCCTGATCTAAAATGTTCATTTCATGTTTAGATAGTGCCAGCTCATTTTTAATTTGTTCATCTCCCAGAGTTTCCATTTGTTTATTTTCCAAATCTTTTTTTTTTTGTTAGTTTTTCCCATCTTTTTTTATTTCTATTTGCTATGTATGCTATAGATATTCCCTTTAAATACGCCTTTGTTGTATCCCAGAGGTTCTGCAATGAAGTATCCTGTTTTTTATTAAATTTAAAGAAAACAATTCTTCCCTGATTTTTTGGATGTAGTCTTTCTTTCAATAGTTGCGAGTTAAGTGTCCATCTACTTTTCTTGTGGGTTGGGTCTTTCCAGATTATCTGCAGCGGGTTGTGAACTGCCCAGGTGTGAGTTAAAATCTTTATGTCCTGAATCTCCTTAAGTAAGTACCCATGCCATATCTAGTCTAGACCATGATTTATGTGGATTGGAGTAGAAAGTGAACTGAGTCACCCCTGGGTTCAGCTTCCTCCAAGCATCCACTACTTCTAATTCTTCGGCCACCTGATTGTCTTGATTGTTATTTGTAATTGCATTATAGTCTCCAAATATACAAATTTTGGGGTTGCCAATTTCTATCAATTTCTCATATAGGATTTTATAGAATTCATTCTGATTTTTACTGGGGGCATATATCCCCACCAACAGAATGTTTTTATTTTGAATGACCACCTCTACCATTAATATTCTCCCCATTGTATCATTATAGATTAATTTTGAAGTTATTTCCTCTTTAATATATAGTACAACTCCTCTGTTTTTTTCTTCTACTAATGTTGTATACATTTTCCACAATTTTTTATTTTGTAAGTATCTCTGATCCTGCGTTTTAATGTGAACCTCTTGGAGACAAATTGTATCAGCTCTCTGTTTCTCTAATTTAAAAAATATTCTCTTCCTTTTAGATGGGTCATTTAGTCCATTAATGTTCATAGATATTAGTTTCAATCCTCTTTCCATAAAATTATGTTTTCATGTCATTATAGGGTACTGAGTATAGATTAATAAGAAAAAAAATGAGTGGGGTCCTTTTACAGTGCTGAACCCCGCCTCTTCTGTCTCTTTTCCGGAGTGCAGGAGTCAATAGCCAGAGCTGGCACATGAGAGGACACCTATCTGTGGTCCTCTCAGGCTCTGCATCCTGCCCTCAATACATTGCTGCTCTATATTCGGCGCTCCAAATTCACAGTGAGACGGCACTCCATGTTCAAAATTTTTTGTCTTTTCCTCCTTGAAACCTAGGTGCGTCTCATGGGGAGCGAGAGAGTTGAGGGCTGTTTGGAAACTGAAACAGTTTCCAAACTGTGTGAGCAAGGAGACAGCAAGGAGCCTGGGCGTGGCTTAGCTCAACTGTTCTGTAGTAAAGCTGTTTGCTGCTGTGAAAGTAAAACTGAAACAAACTCCTCTCCTCTGCTTGTGTTTTGCATTTGGAAGAGATTTCTTTTCAGGTGGGGAGGGGGAGTAGAACTCCTTGGCATCAGAGCGTGTTAATAATAACATTGGAAATACTAATGTTCTGATGGTCGTTTTGAATCCTTTCTTAGTGAGCACCTAGAAGCCAAGAGGAACATATGTGCCAAATTTCAAGTTTGTAGGATTTACGGTTCTAGAGATTTTGTGATGATGTGTGAGTGCTTTTTTGCTTTTATATATATAGATTTAAAAAGGGAGAATGTAACAGATTTCCAGACAATGTTTGCTTACAGCTCAAACTGTAAATTCAATCTATGAACTTTTATCAACAGTCATAAATAAGGTTGACTGCTTGAGTCTTTTGCAAAGTTTATTAAGAGTCACCCAAATATTGCAGAAGGACTCAGGAGGACACTTACTGATAGACATGGGGTGGTTAATTCAGAAACTGAAACTATAGCAGGCCCTTCTCTCCCTCCCAAAAAGGTGAGAGGAAAGAATACTTGAATTTTGTTATCTTTCAAGCAGTCCACAATTCCCTCTATGCTTTTTAGAATTAAGCCCTCCTTGAACATCTTTTCAATATTCCCAGTACGTGACACAAACTGAGCAACGTGGTATATGCAGTACAATGCAGTGAACCATGTGTAGATCTGTACATTGGGGAAACAAAACAACCACTTCATAAATGCACGGCACAACACAGGAGAACAAACCCATCAGGACTAGATTCATCAGTCTATCTGCATTTAAAAGACAAAGGCCACTCTTTTGAAGACAGCAAAGTCCACATTTTGGACAGAGGGGACTGCTGGTTAGAAAGAGGGGTCAAAGAGGCCATCTGTGTCAAAATTGAACAGCCTTCTCTCAATAGAGGGGGAGGGATACAACATCTTCTATCTCCAGTCTATAACACAGTCCTTTCAACAGTTCCAAGAAGGCTCCACACCCATTGTGACCCTGATGACACAGATAAACCTCCGGGTGACTTGCTAAAAGAATGCAAATGACCAGCTGTCCAGTATAAATCCTTTCATTCCCCACTATCCCCTCAGAGCTGAAGCAGCTTCTTGGATGAGACGTGAAAGAAAAACCAGAAAGTCCAGTTGCCTCTTGAAAAAGCACCTTTGGGACAATCATGACCTGGACGACTGAGAATCTCCATAGACATTCTTTTACCACTATTTCTACTTTAAAGACCTAGAATTTTTCAAGCTATAGAGAAAGCTGACTTAATTTTTAGGTCACACAACTGCTGCTGATATATCAGGTAATTTCAATCTATATGTCTAATAAATGCCTACTGTATGTATACAGAGTTAGGATGGAAAACAGGTTAACTGCTCTAGGTTATATACTATTAAAAAAAATCAATCTCTGCTGGTTCTACAGCTTGTTTCTTCCTACAGAAGGGAACTAGTCTAATCTCCCCCCACCCCCAACCTACAAAGTGAAGATTGGAAAGTTTATGAAAAACATTAGCAAAGAGTACTTACTAAATGTTATCAGACACACAAAAGTGCGAATAGATCTGATCTATAACACAAAAAATAGTCACCTGCTTTTCTGCATGATCTGCAGGCCATCCTTGGACATGCTTTGTAAGATTCTCATTGAAATGACCTGCTAATGTAGGAGTTAATGAACATGTAGGCCATCCAGATACATTTTGCAGTGCTGTTGTGTTTGAGGTATGAGTTGGACCAGGAGATGGACTACTATAAGAAAAAAAATGAACTGTCACTGTATTGTATTCATACAATTTTCAAATCTTCTAAGAATTTTTTCCTATTATTAAAATATGAAATGTATATATTACAGTTGTGCTCATAAGTTTACATACCCTGGCAGAATTTATGATTACTTGGCCATTTTTCAGTGAATATGAATGATAACACAAAAACTTTTCTTACACTCATGGTTAGTGGTTGGCTGAAGCCATTTATTATCAATCAACTGTGTTTACTCTTTTTAAATCATAATGACAACAGAAACTACCCCAAATGACCCAAAGCTAATGAGTTATTAGACTACATGTATATTTTATTCACTGCTTTCAACAAATCTTTAGTTTGTATCGTTGAAGAACAGTTTTTTGAAGTATTCCATTTAAAGCATGGATGTCCAACCTTTTGGCTTGCCTGGGCTGCACTGAGTGAAGAGGAATTATCTAGGGCCGCATATAAAATATATAATGTAGTTAATGCATATAAATAAAACTTCATTTTTATATGAACTTATGGGGCTGCACATGGCCTGTAGGGTGTGGTTAGACACGCCTTATTTAGAGCTTTTTGAACTGGAGTGGCATAGAAATGTTGACAATGAAAGAAACAGCAGCCAAGAAAAAGCACTTTTAAAAAACTAGGCTTACTTTTTACATTTAAGAAAAAAAAACTATTATCATCTATCAAACTGCTGTTTCTTTGAAGGATACATATTTACTATTGTTAACTCCAGCATCCACCTTCTCCCTCCGAGAAAGAGATGGGAGAAGGTAAAACATATGGCTTAGTAAGAGATGTGCAGTTTATCCGAAATGTATTCAAGCCAAATTGTCTCTTAGACTGTACAACAAAGTTTGTGTTCATGAGTTACTTTAGACTCAATTTACTCTAGAATGAAGGTGATGGGACTTATTTTCATAAAAATCAAGGGCATGGTTGGGGAAAAAATCTTCCTCTATCATGTTTCAAGTCTTACATAGCTCTCTGATATCTCCAGCTATGTAGTTCTTAAAATAAAAGTGGAGTATGAACATACACTGCTCAAAAAAATAAAGGGAACACAAAAATAAGACATCCTAGATCTGAATGAATGAAATATTCTTATTAAATACTTTGTTCATTACATAGTTGAATGTGCTGACAACAAAATCACAAAAAAATTATCAATGGAAATCAAATTTAGCAACCCATGGAGGTCTGGATTTGGAGTTACACTCAAAATTAAAGTGGAAAAAAACACTACAGGCTGATCCAACTTTGATGCAATGTCCTTAAAACAAGTCAAAATGAGGCTCAGTAGTGTGTATGGCCTCCACATGCCTGTATGACCTCCCTACAATGCCTGGGCATGCTCCTGATGAGGTGGGGGATGGTCTCCTGAGGGATCTCCTCCCACACCTGGACTAAAGCATCCCCCAACTCCTGGACAGTCTGTGGTGCAACGTGGCGTTGGTGGATGGAGCGAGACATGATGTCCCAGATGTGCTCAATTGGATTCAGGCCTGGGGAACGGGCGGGCCAGTCCATAGCATCAATGCCTTCATCTTGCAGGAACTGCTGACACACTCCAGCCACATGAGGTCTAGCATTGTTTTGCATTAGGAGGAACCCAGGGCTAACCGCACCAGCATATGGTCTCACAAGGGGTCTGAGGATCTCATCTCGGTACCTAATGGCAGTCAGGCTACCTCTGGCGAGCACATGGAAGGCTGTGCGGCCCCCTAAAGAAATGCCACCCTACACCATTACTGACTCACTGCCAAACCGGTCATGCTGGAGGATGTTGCAGGCAGCAGAACATTCTCCACGGTGTCTCCAGACCCTGTCACGTCTATCACGTGCTCAGTGTGAACCTGCTTTCATCTGTGAAGAGCACAGGGCACCAGTGGCAAATTTGCCAATCTTGGTGTTCTCTGGTAAATGCCAAACATCCTGCACGGTGGTGGGCTGTAAGCACCACCAAGGGTGGGGGACCTGTGGATGTCGGGCCCTCATACCACCCTCATGGAGTCTGTTTCTGACGGTTTGAGCAGCCACATGCACATTTGTGGCCCACTGGAGGTCATTTTGCAGGGCTCTGGCAGTGCTCCTCCTGTCCCTCCTTGCACAAAGGCGGAGGTAGCGGTCCTGATGCTGGGTTGTTGCCCTCCTATGGCCTCCTCCACATCTCCTGATGTACTGGCCTGTCTCCTGGTAGCGCCTCCATGCTCTGGACACTACGCTGACAGACACAGCAAACCTTCTTGCCACAGCTCGCATTGATGTGCCATCCTGGATGAGCTGCACTACCTGAGCCACTCCGTCTCATGCTACCACTAGAGTGAAAGCACCGCCAGCATTCAAAAGTGACCAAACCATCAGCCAGAAAGCATAGGAACTGAGAAGTGGTCTGTGGTCACCACCTGCAGAACCACTCCTTTATTGGGGATGTCTTGCTAACTGCCTCTGCTTTCTACCTGTTGTCTATTCCATTTGCACAACAGCATGTGAAATTGATTGTCAATCAGTGTTGCTACCTAAGTGGACAGTTTGATTTCACAGAAGTGTGATTGACTTGGAGTTACATTGTGTTGTTTAAGTGTTCCCTTTATTTTTTTGAGCAGTGTATATTCTATTGCTTCGAAAACAACTGAAATGGTTCTTATAAATTTTATAACTCAGTGTACTTTCATTCTGTATTTTACAATTAGCAGTATTTGGGCTCAAGGTAGAAATGTTTCTGGTTCAACAATCCAAATGTTTAATACACAACTATACACAGCACTTAGGCAATTGCATTTATTCAGGTCCAGCTTACTAGAGCCCTTGTGTTCTTTCAGCCAAATTGCATTATGTAAGAAAAACATTAAAAGATACTGGTGGTTAAATTGCAAATTTAGCAATATAGTTTGCAGAAGAGATATTTCTTCTTAAAATCAGAGTGACCCAGTTAAAATAAGGAAATATTAGATCCACAATTATTACCTTTGCAATGTATAATTCAAAGTTTAATTTAAAAACCCTGTGTGTATGTGTAGATGAGAAAGCATGCCATTAAAATAAGCATCTATAATCAACATTTCTAGAACAATTCATGGTGAAATAAACTCAACTAATTTAAATTTACCTTGAATGCTGAAGACTTCGAGGAGAAGCAGGTTCATGACCTTGTGGTTTCTCAGCAATCACAGGCTGCTGAGACACTAACTGCAAAACTGGTCCTTGCTTAATACCTGAAGTAGCAACCTGAAGTTCAAAATTTGATCAGAGATCAAGATTTGTTCAAACTGCTATAACCAACAGCTATAACCAATGGTATCTTGGAATTCATTAACCATTAACCTGCTCCTATGTGGACCTAATTTTGGGAACCATAGTTCAAAAAGAACAGTTACAAATTGAAACACATTTGGAGGACAGCTACTCTGAGGCACAGTTAATTAGCCCAATGGGTTAAAATTACAATGTTTAAGTTAGATATTAAATAGTAGGGAGGAATTTCTTGAATGTACAAGCTGTTAGTCAGGGGAAAAGTCGCTACATGAAATTGTGGCTTTTCCTTTGATGAAAGTTTTCATAAGAAAGGCTGGATGATCACCTCTCAAAGATACTCTAGTGCAGTGGTTCCCAAACTTTTACAGTCTACCACCCCCTTGGTGCTACAAACTCATCCTCAGTGCCCCCCCACCCAGGGGTGGGATTCAAATTTCTTAACCGGTTCTGTGGGCGTGGCCTAATTTGTGGGTGTGGCTTGGTCATGTGACTGGGTGGACATGGCTTTCTGGCTGGGCGTGGCTTCGTGGTCACATGTCTAGGTGGGCGTGGCCAGGTGGGCATGTGACTGGCAAACCAAACACAAGTGGTCCTCGCTTAATGGCCGGTTGCTTAGCAAGTGGTCTAATTTATGACTGACCTACCCAGAACTACTTGACCTGTTTTTAGAGTTTTGACAGTCATGCGCGCGCGCACACACATACACACTCTTCTAAACCTGCTGAAGCAGGTGGTTGGACTAGTTATCTCATTCACTTTCTCCTCCCTCCCTCCCTCCCTCCCTTTTCTTTCTTTCCTTTTTTCTTTCTTTTTCTTTCTTTCAGTCTCTTCCTTCCATCACCCCCTTTCTTTGCCTATCCCTTTTCTTCCTTTCTCTTCCTTTCTCTCTCCCTTTTTCTTTCTTTCCCTTTTCTCTTTCTTTTCTTTGTCTCTTCCTTCTCTTTCTCTCTCCCTCCCTCCATATATCCTATTCACTTTCTCCTCCTCCCTCCCTCCCTCCCTCCCTCTTTCTTTCCCTTCCTTCCATCCCCCCTTTCTTTGTCTATCCCTTTTCTTCCTTTCTCTTCCTTTCTCTCTCCCTTTTTCTCTTTCCCTTTTCTTTCTTTACTTTGTCTCTTCCTCTCTCTCTTTCTATTTCCCTCTCTCTCTTTCTCTCTCTCTATCCCTTCCCTTCCTCCTTTTCTCTCTCCTAAGCTGAGACCCACCTGAAACACTCTCTCTCTCTTACAACAAGGTAGTCACCTGGCAACGTCACTCGTGACGAGTCTCCCAGAGTCCCAGGGACTGGGCGCAATTGTCCGTTCACACCCGGTCCTGCGATGCCCGGAAAAGCCAGCAGGCAAGGCTTCCAGGTCCAACAAAGGGGCCGCGGGTCCCTCTTTTGGGGAAAGGGCTGGGAACTTCAAGCAAGGCTGCAGCCTTGTCAACCGCAGGAGCTGCGGGAGAAGTGAGCTGCAGGAAAGGTGAACCAGCCAGGGCAGACCTGTCGCTATTTGGCTCCCTGCCAGCCCGCATCTCGTCAGCTGCTGGGGCTCGCGGGTCATGGCTGCTGAGGGGGAGTGCGGGAGGCAATCAGGAAGCACGAGGCTTATGCCGCCTGCATCGTCCCTCTGCCAGCCGCCCCCCCCTCTGAGCGTTTCAGCCGAATGCGGGCCGCTGCTGTGCAAGCTCCATGAGTGGAAGACCCACTCTCGCGAGGCTTGACTTGCATCATTCTCACAGCGGCAGCCCGCATTCAGCCAAAGTGTGCAGGCTGGTGGGCGGCAGAGGGAAGGGGTGGTAGGCAAGGGGCGATGTGGGAGGCATAGCATCATGATCCCTGGTCACCCCTCCCCACCCCCGCCCCTAGCAGGCAAAGCCCAGCAGCTGCGGAGAATCCCAGTGGGACCCAAGCGGCAACGGGTCAGCCCTGGCTTGCTTTCCTCTCAGCCACCAGCAAGCCAGGCAAGTGGGGTGAGGGGGAAGCTGAATTGCGCCCTGCAAGGGGCCCACCTCCAGCACTCCTCTGCCGCCCCCCTGCCACACCCCTTGACTCTTACCACCCCCCTAAGTCATCCCACTGCCCCCCAGGGGGCGGTACCGCCCACTTTGGGAACCACTGTTCTAGTGGATTGTGCATTGACCTTCCAATTCTATGATTCTATGAAAATACTGGAGACTAGCAATAAACAGTTTTATTCTCACAATACATTAAAAACTTACCTTTGGCTGTGATGATACAGATTTCAAAGGAACTGTGTTAGTCTGAGGTGTGCTTATTTTTGGAGATACATATGATCTTGGTGATGAAGCATCTGACGTTAAAGACATTGGGGACTGATTAGATGACTGAGCTGTGAATAAAATCATGAGAGCATTTTAAAAGCCTACTGACTATTTTTAAAGGAACAGTATTCTTATGAGAGTTAAGTATGGCAAGCTTATAAAAATAAGGTCAAATCTGTTATTACTGTATTAAAGAATGAAAATCTTACACTGACAAGGTACACAACAGCTATATGTGCCACTGTAATAACTAATATCTAGGAAGTACTAGACAACCCATGACCTGTTGAGTCACTATTTCAGAGAGATTTTCTTATCAGAAGGAATCAGAGCATCAAAAACCTTCTTTCCTTCCTTCCTTCCTTCCTCCTCCCTCCCTCAAATTCTTGATTTCTCCATTTACTTTGCTTGTGGAAAGCTAGCAGGGAGACAGTCAGTGGGGAAGCCAGCAGGAAGTTGCAATCCAAGGCTGCTGACAGGTGAGGGAGCAAGGGTATACATGGGGGAGCAGGTCAAGAAAGAGGTTGGGGCTGTGTGAGAGGTGCCACATGGGTTGGGAAGGGTGTGTGGGGTGCACAAAGGGTGCTGCATAGATCAGGGAAGGTGCAGGGGGGCAGAATAGGCTGGTAGAACATATAGGAGAATGGCATGGGCTGAGAAGGGTGCACAGGGGTTCATTCCTCCCTCCCCTTTGAAGCAGACAGGTAAGTGGCTGCTGCTGGATGGGGGAGTGAGGGATTGCAAGACTGGCTGGGAAACTGTCATGGAATGTTGAAAGTGAAGCTCATGTGACTGCAGCAGCAGCCAACAGGACTAAAGCAGCCACAACTTTCCCAAATTCCTTCAGAGTCATGTGTCCTGGATTTTGGATACATTCTGTAAGTAAGCCCATTTCAGTTACCTTGGTTGAAAAATCGTTGCCCTATATATAGTGCATCGTTTTGCCCAGTTAAAGATCATGACAATGAGTGTTTTAGTAGTACATAAGTAACTTGTTTTCAACAGCCTTTTTTGGAACTGAGAAGTCCATAAATTGCAGCAAATAAATAAGTAAACAAATGCATGCTCTGATCTAGGGTTAGCTTCCTATGGGAACCAATTCCATAGCTTTATAATCTAAAAAACTAAGGACTGCACACAACATAAATGTCAAATTTCTCCTTGCATACATAAGTTAACAAACTGTATTTAGAAAGAACAGATATTATTTATTTTTCCATTTCTGAACTGCTCATCTCCCTCAAAGAGGGACCCTGGGGGTGTACAATAAAACAACCTGTGCTCAAACGTTGAACCATAAGCAGTGTGTACCAAGACTGAAGAATATATGTTAACTGTCAGACTGCGCACTCTGACAGGTTATGGGCCCAGTCCAGAGAGAAGGCCAGAGTGACTAGAGAAACCAGAGAGAAGAGAAACCCAGTGAGAGCTTGCACTAAAGTCAGAGGGGCTGTGCATCGTGGTTTGTTAGGGGTTGGTGCTTGTAATGGAAACAAGCAACATGGCTTCGGTCAGAGTAATGGGAGGAGGTTTCGTGGTGTCTCTGCTGAATGAGACAAACTACCTCTCCTGGAGTGTAAAGATGGAGAAGTACCTGAGAAGGGAGGAATTGTGGACGCTAGTTACTAATCCACCAGCAGTCCTGGATGATGGGGACTGAAGAAGAAATGAAAAGGCATTAGGCAGCATAATCCTGAGTTTGGAAGACAGTCAGCTGATACATGTGAGGGGTCTCCAGTCTGTGAAAGAGTGATGGGAGGTGTTGTGCAGTGTGTATGTATGTTAGAGAAACTGCGGGCAGTAAAGTGACAAGGAGACTGTATAAAGCACAACTGAAGCTGGGGGAGAGCATGTCCATACATCTGCAGGCGATGAGAAAGACATTCCTGGAGTTAGAGAAAAGAGGAATGACATTTACTGAGTCCCACAAGGTATATGTGGTGCTCAGTTCATTGGACACTTCATGGGACGTTCTTGTGACAAGCTTAGAGTCCATGCAAGAGAGGGACTTAACCATGGCATATTTGACTGGCTGATTGTTGGAAGAACAACAGAAACGGCTTGAAAGGTGACTAGGAAAGGAAGGAGATAATGCTCAGCATAGGCCAACATCTGCAACATCCCAGGATGCCAGTAGAGCAGCTGAGAATGTTTACACAGTGAAGCTGTGCTACACATGTGGTTCTACAGAGCATCTCCAAAGACGCTGCCCTGAGAGGAGAAACAGAGGAGCAGCGAGACAAGGGTGTAGGGCTACTCAACACATGAGGAGTGGTTCTTCATCATCATTTTATTCCCTGGCAGCAACAGTGTCTGAAAACACTAGAAACACTTGGTTGTTGAACAGTGGGGCGAGTCAGCATATTGCAAATAACTCACAAAGGTTTTCTGGCTTGAGACAACCTAAGTAAACATTTGTTAGTTTGGCCAATGGTCAATGGTCTGCTGTTAAAGGGGAAGGTAAAGTCTATGTACCTTGAGATAGGAGAAACATTAGACAATGTCTTATATGTACCAAACCTAGATCATAACCTGTTGAGTGTTTCCAGGTTAGACAGTCAAGGGTATGGAATACTATTTGCAGGAGGACAATACTCCCTCAGGAAAGGTGGAAGAATTCGTGCACGAGGGGTTAAGCAGGATGGTCTGTACATTCTAGGAAGGCAGGAGAATGGTTGTGCATGAACACTTATGAACACTCGCACACATGACAACTGCGTACATTTATGGCACAGGAGATTGGGGCATGCGAGTTGCAGAGTACTGCAGAAAATGCCAGACCTAGCTGAGGGGCATAAGCCAAAGCCAAAGCAGTGCAAGATGTACTTAGATTGCACTGTTTGTAAGGAGTCAAAGTCCAGGGTGTATCCTGTGAGTAAGAAAAACTCAAGGCAAGCTAACAGAGTTATGAGACCTGAAAGGTGTAATAAAGGTATACCTTCTGAGTGGTTCACTGCAAGTTGGGTTAGAGTAGGTAGTATTCGTAATGAACCCTGTAAGTACCAAGAGATATGAACATGGTCATTGTCTAAGGAAAAAGAGGAAGCCGAAGTTAAAGAGAATGCCAGGCAGACAGATAAACCAAACTGAGGAAACTGAGCTAGTGAAAAGAGAAAATGAAGGTATTCAGTCAAGAGATGGTGAACAGGATGTAATGAAAAATAATGAGACAGAGTGTACAGAGTCATTAAAAAAATGAAATTAGGAGCACTTCCAGCAGCAGTAGTAATGATACTAGTAGTGTTTGTAGCAGTGAGAGTAGAAACCAAAGCAGGAGGCGAGGACAATAGAAATAGGGTTGATCATGAATATGTTAAAGCATTCAGCTATTCAGCTTTAAAGGAGAGGAGTGCCAGGGAAATACTTTAAGAGCTGACCAACTGCTGTAATGCTGATGGAATGGTAGGAATGAGTCAGCAGAGTTATTTGACTGTTACCACTTTAAGAGTCTGTATTGTAAGAGAGGCCCTGTTGGGATGTATCTCTCTCTCCTGTGTGCTTCCCGTGTTGTGCTGTAAATTGCTGATTGTTTGACCTTTGCCTAGTAGGTGTATGTATATTCTTTTGTAGAGATATACTACTATTATAACAAACCTCTGGTTTGATGTTATTGTTCCTGGGTTGTCTCACATAGTTACATAGTGCGCACTCTTTCATTAACTATGGGCACAGACCTGAAATGTGTGTTCTGGGCAGAAGTGCTCGAAAGTAGAAAAAGGGGAAGGCCATGGTTAGTTCTGATGGGGTTAAGGGTAGGTGTTGAAAGGGGGGCTTCAGGTTGCCTTCTGCTTCCTCTGTTTATCTTGATCTAAGAATTTTCAGGAACACTTCTCAACTAGTGTATTTGAATTTATCTCTAGTTTTGATGCAAACCAAACATTAGAGTATATGGAGTGAGATAAATGTGATTAAGATGCATTTAATTCTAAGGTTAATTTACATTTTGAGAAGCCTTCCTGTATTTATTCTATCATATTATTGTAAACACACTTACAGGAAACAGAACACATTTGGCAAGTTTTCTGTAAGATTTTCATTGTGCAAATTACAATCAGCTGTTGGGAAGACAGATTTTAAACTTCAGCTTATCACTGGGCATTTTGACTTTGATCATTGGCTGGCATAAGGAACTTCAGAATTCAGCTGTTTGGATTTCAGAGTTACTATTTGACCTATTGAAATCCTGGCAAGCACTGGGGTTCCTGTACTTAATTCTATAAGATATGTATGGAAAATATTGACCCATTTATGAAAATCTTATACTATTAGATAATCCCAGTTTAAGTATACTGGATTTTTTTAAATGGGTGGATTAAGATGGAGCTCTTACATTATTATTACTAGGCATCAACTCAGCCCTGTGGAAGCTATTTTAACACACCTGTCATACTGAACAAATCTGATTTGCCCCTCAAGAGTGCTTCTTGCTATTTTATTGAAATATTTGTTATTTGATCTAGTTGGAACAGATGTTATTACTTAAGTTTCTAATTTTGGAGAAATGAGCTGTGATTTCTAAAGTTAAATCTTTTAAAGAAAATTGAAGAAACTGATAGTAATGATAAGGTATCTGGAATAATAAGTTTAAATGTCCTGGTAAAGCTGTGGAGAATAGCTTTAAATATTTTTCTATGATCTTAAAATGAGATTAATACGAAGAAGATTGCTAAATCAGATACAATCTTTTATATATGCTGGCCTAAAAGATGGACATTTATTCACATGGTTGAATCAGTTCTAACTGCCACACTCAGGACTGGAATAAATAGGATAAATAAGGCTCTGAATAAATTTTTCTGTTTTAATTATGGCTATATTCCTAGTATTTGATATTATGAAAATATGCAGAATTATGGGTTTTTGGGGCTGACTAAAAGAATGTCCATACAACATTGGAAAGCTGAATGTACAACTGATTTGCAGCAATAAATCATTGTTGTATTTGTCTACATTTAAATTAGACTTTGTGTGTGTATGCTTCTTTTGCCAAAATAACGAGGAAACCTTTAAATGAAAAAGTCAAAATGTTTTGAAGTTATTCTGTTTATAATGTGACTTTCCAGGACTCTTTATTCTTTAAATAAATATCAGAGTTACTAAACTTAAGGTGTTGCATATACTGTATGTATACAAGTAATCCTCAGTTAACAACCATTCATTCAGTAACCATTCAAAGTTGCAATGGCACTGAACGAGTGGTATTTATGACTGGTCCTTAAAGTTCCAGCTGTTGCTGCACCCCCAGTTACATGATCATGATCTGGGCACTTGGGCAACTGGCTCACACTTATGATGGTCCAATGGTAATGTCCAATGGTAATGTCACCATTTGTGACCTTTCTTATCAACTTCTCACAAGCAAATTCAAATGAGAAGCCAGCAAGGAATGTTAAGTCACTCCAGCCTTTTCTCCTGAGGAACCCCACTATGATGTATGAGATCTCAGGGATCTTTTACTCCATAGAGCACATTCATTCCGCAGCACCCTCTCCCCAACACACCTGCACTTATGCAGCACAGCAGTGAAACCTCCCAGAACACACTCACCACAGCAACCCTACACCTCATTCCATAGTGCTCACCTACCCACAATCCTGCTTGTGAGCTGCCCCAAACTTGCAACTTCCTGCCAGCTTTCCCACTGACTTTGCTGATGGGAATGTGGCAGGAAGTCACAAGTTGTGGTCACTTAATGACCTGCAATCCTCACTTAACAGTGGCGAACAGAGATAGCTGGGATTCCTGTTGCTAAATCAGGGAACACATGATGTAGCACTTTATGACTATGCTTAGCAATTACTGTCCCAATTACTGTCATTAAGCAAATACTACTTGTAGGTTGACTTCTGTTAGATTAATATAATTACCCAATCCAAGGTACTAGAAACATCTGAAAATGTATATGTATTTTCTGTAGTGCATAAACAGTAACTTTAAATTGCATATACCACTGAACAGATATGACCTTCACATACAATCAGCCCTTTGAGGTAATGCAGACCAAGACACCAAACTTATGAATACTACTACCGTGTTTCTCAGAAAATAAGGCTGGGCCTTATTTTCTTTTGAACCCCCCCCCCCCCCCCAGGGCAGGGCCCCCTTTTCGGGGGGGCTTTATTTTTCCACCCCCCCACACCCCCACCTAGAGTGCCCCACGCGCAGCCATGCTTTGCCACCAGCCGCTCCTAACGGCCGATCATGGCGGAGCGTGAAGGGCTCCCTACCCCCACCAAGCGCCTTTGCTGCAGACCCGGGTATGGTGCTGGCTGCAGGCCGGGTCAGAGGGTGGGCGGCTGCGGCGTGGATGTCGGCCTCGGCGGGCCACTTTACACCGCTGCCGCTTCCTCCGCCACCGTCACTTTCCCTTCTGCCCTTGCTGCAGCTTATGCCGCGTTCGGACTGCTGGACATCGCGGTGCAGCGGTAGCAGAGAAGTGGCCCTTCCAGTGGGTGGAGGAACGGTTTGAGCACATTCCTCCGCCGGCAGGGTTTCAGCCGCTTCTCAGGCGGGGGAGCCGCCTCTGTAGCTTCCACGGTTCCCGCCAGCGGTGGCGCCTTTCTCACCAGCACCGTCTCCAACAACAGTGGTAGCTGCAGAGGGACGAGAACCGCCTTCCCTCCTGCAGGGGCATTGTTTTGCTTGACGGCAGCTGTGTTGACATCTTGCAAGTCAGTGAGTCATTTGGGCTTCGGTGGGTGAAAGCGGCGGCAGGTGGGTGATGCTATCTTTTCTCTGCCCCCCACGCCTCATTTTGCTTCCCACCCCAGAGCTTCGGGTCACGGTCTCGTCCCCTGTACGGTCGGGCGCTCTCCTCTTGCTCCTGCTGCCCGACCCCCCCCCCAGTGGACCTTTTCCCCTTCTTTAAGTTTTCTTTACTCTCATTCCCTCTGTCAGTTCCCTAAGAATACAGACTGGCCAGGCAGCTTCCTCCCCACCCCTCCCGGTAGTTTTAAAAAGGGAACCATCAATCAATTTTGCCCTTCAAGCAGAGGCAACCCTTCCAATCCAAACATAAGAGAAAGGGAATCATCCTACAGACCCTTAGCACCAAGCTTCCCAGAGGATTCACCCCAAAGGAGGATTCACCCCCTTAAACGCACTCCCCACCTTCAACTCCTTGAAGGGCAGAAACAGGATGGAAATCCACCTCCTGGATTTCTCCTGGCAAATCCCAAAGACACTCTTCCCTCTTTCCCTCCTTCTTTCCTTGCCAAGCTTCATAGAGGATTCCTCCCAAAGGATTCACCCCAAAGGAGGTGCTGCCGCCGTCAAGCAAAGCAATGCCCCTGCGGGAGGGCAGCCGGTTCTCATCGGCAGCGGGGTCTGTCCCGCCACTGCTGCTGTTGTTGGAGACGGTGCTGGCGAGAGAGGCGCCACCGCCGGCGGGAAGCATGGAAGCTACAGAAGCGGCTCCCCCGCCTGAGAAGCAGCTGAAACGCTGTCAGCAGAGGAATGCACTTGAACCATTCCTCTACCCACTGGAAGGGCCACTTCTCCACTACCGCTGCGCCGCGATGCCCAGCATGGACTCCGGCCTCTGCATCTTGCCCAATGGCAGCAGTCCAAATGCGGCATAAGCCACGGCGAGGGCAGAAGGGAAAGCGACGGCGGCGGAAGCGGCAGTGGTGCAAAGTGGCCCACCGCCAAGGCCGACATCCATGCTGCCGCCCGCCCTCTGACCCGTCTTGCAGCCAGCATGGTAGGTCTGCAGCAAAGGCACTTAGCGGAGGTAGGGAGCCCTCCGTACTCCGCCATGATCGGCCACTGGAGCGGCTGGTGGCGAGGCGTGGCTGCCTGTGGGCCGCTCCTAACAGCAAGTCCCCCCCCCCCCAGCCTTCGCCCCTATTTCGCATATTTTAAATAGTCCTAAATTTTGGGGAGGGGCTTAATTTCACCTCATGCCTAGAAAACATGCTGGGCCTTCCTATTGGGGGGGTGTATTGTTGGAGAAACACGGTATTACTTTTATTATAAAGTTATAGTAACAGAATTTTGCAAGTCTGAATGTGCCTCTCTCTTCCCTGCCTTTTATGTCTATGGAGATTCTCAGTCATCTAGTTCATGGTTGTCCCAAAGGTGCTTTTTCAAGAGGCAATTGGACTTGGTTTTTCTTAGAAGATGTTTCGCTTCTCATCCAAGAAGTTTCTTCAGTTCTGTCTGATGGTGGGGAATGGAAGGATTTATAAGTAACCATCTGTATACAAGGAATATAAATCCTTCCATTCCCCACCACCCAGTCAGAGCTGAAGATGCTTCTTGGATTAGAAGTGAAACATCTTCAAAGAAAAACAAAGTCCAGTTGCCTCTTGAAAAAGCACTTTTGGGACATCCCTGCCTTTTACATTCCAGAGAACTAGGGAGGGTCAACTCTGAGATGCTTGCTCAAATTACATTCCTGCTTTGGACTCAGATTTCGCTTATTTGACCATTGTCTAGGTTGCATCTGTTCCTCCTGTCTCAAGGTTGCTAGCACAGTCCATTACACATACAAAGCAAACCTTGATTTGAATATTAAGTGGATTTCTAATGATAGCCAAGAATACACTTATTGTGCAGACCCAATACATGATATCCACATCTTCACAAGTAGGTGTGCCTATTGGACACACAGAGATTACCCAACCTGTCCCTGTTAAAAAAAAAGTCTGGTCCTTTTAAAACCAGGGGCAAAACTTCAGAAGCTGTGAACTGAGGATGAGAAAACCAGAGGCCTGTATTCCACAGCCTCCAATTAACATTTGGGAATTTCCAAGAAGTTGGAAGAATAGTCCAGCTAACTGTTTTCTTAGCAGTTTTCAGATGTGGTTTGCCGCTACCCTTCTCCCTAGAGCTGAGAACATTTGACTAGCCCAAAGTTATCAGCTTGCTTTGTGCCTAAGGCAGGACCAGGATTCACAACCTCCTAGTTTCTAGCCTTTACATCAAACAGTTTATTGTCAGCTTTATTATAAGTGTTCCCTGTCAAAATACTATGTGAAACAAAAAAATATGCTAAAAGGTAATGATATAGTAATATAATCACAAATGCAAAACAAGCCAATTTGGCAAATGGTAACTTAGTTGTTGGTAGATAATTAGCAGGGTAATCATTGGACAAAATCCTTGCACAAAATTTTACAATTTCATCCTTTCTGTGTCTGAATATATTTATGCTTGATGGTATAAAACATATTTATCACTTCCTACAACCTGCCTCAGATAAACATACATACACACAAACAGGGTTTGTCTGGAAAGTAATGTTTCATTATTTTGCTAGTTATAGTTCATTAGCCAAACTCTCATAAAATACAAGGCAACTTTACAAAGAGGGCAAGAAGAAACTTCCAAATTACCTTGTGTGGAAAGCTGTGTTGCTTGTGTAATCAGGGAACTTATATTAAAAGATGGTCCAGCAGTGAGAATTTTATGAAGAATAGACTGCAGAGAAGCTTGTGTCACAGCAGCTGTAAGAACTAATATACATATAAAGATTCCCTAAACTGAAGCAAGTTAGTGTTTTGGACTCTCCTTCTGAAAGTTTCAGTATGAATGACATTAATAGTTTCTTCTTGAAAATGTCGGATTGGTCTCTCAAACCAGTAAGAGATAACTTGCTCTGCTTCTCCCTCCTGTTATCTTCACTATAGCATAGTATCATCTACCTCACTACTCTTCATGTAACATCATTACAATTGTTACTAGGATTCATTACAGTTTTCAGAAGAATGCAAATACAGGAAGTCCTTGGTTAATGACCACTCGTTCAGTGACCATTCAAAGTTACAGCAGCAATGAACAAGTGGTATTTATGACTAGCTTTTGAATTTGTGGCCATTGCAGCACCCCTATGGTTATGTGATTGCAATTCATGCACTTGGCAACTGATGTACAAATATGACAGCTGCAGAGTCCCACAGTCACATGATAGCAGTAACACTTAGACTTATATACCACTTCATAGTGCTTTACAGCCCTCTCTAAGCAGTTTACAGAGTCAGCATATTGCCCTCAACAATCTGGGTCCTCATTTTACCGACCTCGGAAGGATGGAAGGCTGAGTCAATCTTGAGCCACTCAGAATCAAACTCTTGGAGTGAGCAGTGAGTTAGCCTGCAGTACTGCATTCTAACCACTGTCCCACCACAGCTCTTCAAATGTTGTTAGGCATTCATGATGCATGAATGCCTGCAACAGTCAAATGATTTCCAGTTACAGCATTCACTGCCAGCTTCCAACAAGCAACATCAATGGGAAAGTCGGCAGGAAGTTGCAAGCTGCAGTCATGTGATGTTGCATTTAACAGTGCATATTTTACTTAACTACTGCAACTGGAACTGCTGTCGTAAGTCAATGCAGTTGCCATTTTTTTTGCTTTACAACCACATTGCTCAGTGACAGAATTTCTGGTCCAAATTATGGTTGTTAACTGAGGACTACCTGTATCTGTACTCAGAAATAAGCCCTACTGAAAACAATGGAATTTACTCCCAGGTAAATGAGTACAATTGCAATCTCTTAATTTATGAAATGAAAATATTGGTATCAAATTTTCATTTTTAAAAATTTTATTTCGTGACCAAGTTTTCTATTAAACTGATTTCAAACAACCCACTGTATAAAGAAAATGTACAAAATATTTTACAATTCAAAGTTAAAAAACTAGACCTGGTTTGAGCAAAGATAGCAGATCCACACATCGAATACATGAGGTTCTTACCCCAACCTCAGTGAAGGAAAAGGGTATTTGTAAAGAGAGAAAGTAATACATAAGTAGTATTTCCACACTTCCTGATTCTTCTTTACAAATGCTTCTCTCTGGACTATTTTAAAGTTATGCGCTCTCAGTCATTCTTTTAGTGCAAAGGTCAGTTAACAAAATGATCCCAGGACCTCCCCAATGAGGAAAAAATATTTGGGGATCTTTTTAGTTTGGAAGAAAGGTGACTAAAGAGAACACAATAAAGGTGTATAAAATCACTAAAAAGTCAATAAAATGGACAGGATGATTTTTTTCTCATAAAAAAATAGGACTGGTTCATCCAATGACACTGAGAAGGTTACACAAAACTGGCAAAATAATGTGCAGCAAAATAAAATCTACAGAATTCCTTAATATATCTTGTGAGGGTTACTAGCTTGGATGGCTTTAAAAAGATATTAGATAGTTCATGGAGGACAGGCTTAAGAAGCTACTAATTGTGAAGGTATTGCTAGCAAATGTGAGAAGCAAAATAGTAGCTGTGCATAGAACCTTGGTTATTTTTATGTTCTAAGATGGATGCTAAGTCTTTAAGAGGAAAGAACGGAAAGAGGTGTTTTCTGTAAGACAATTAAGAATAGAATTCAACTTTAAGTTTCTGTTCCCTTTCCCACAACACCTGTTACCAGACATTACAGAGCACCCTCTTAAGAAATACAGATAATTACCGTATTTATCGGCGTATAACACGCACTTTTTTCCCCCTGAAAATAGGGGGCAAATGATGTATGCGTGTTATACGCCGATATAATGTTAAGAAGCCTTCGGTGAATGCTGCTGGGATCGGGGATCAAGGACACAAATGAAAGAAGGGGAGGGAGGAAGCAACCGAAGCCTGTCCTTCTCTCTGGGTCAGCTCTCTCAGTCGCTCTCTCGCTCCTCCACCAGCACAGGAAGAAACTGCTTCAAAGAAGCGGGGGGGGGGGGGGGGGGGGTTTCCTGTCGCCGCAGCTTCCCTGAAGCGCCCGTTTCTCCCCCACCCCCACCCCGTCCGCCCGCCCGCAGTGCTCCGTTCTGCCTGCCTGCCTGCCTTCGTTAATGGTTGAATCGGAACAGCTTCGGCTGAGTAAAAGAGGCGAATAGTTATTATTCTCAGCCGAAGCTGCTCCCAAACAACCAGAAACTAAGGCAGGCAGGCAGAATTTTTTTTATTTTTTTTTCCTGAAATTTCCCTCTTAAAATGAAGATGCGTGTTATACGCCTGTGCGTGTTATACGCCGATAAATACGGTAACCAAAAATTGTCTTTTACAAACTTCTTACAATATATTCCATTTTTAATACTCTTATCTTCTTATAAAAGTAAAATTTCCCAATCAATACATTTGAATAATTAAAAAAAACTCAACCTACCTTCATTTATTTTGGATATATCTATGCTAGAATTATTAAGCTGCAAGGTGGCTTGAAGAGCAGGTAGTAACTGTCGAAGGAGATTGGGGTCCTGAAGTAATGGAGGAATTGGTGATTGTGAAACAGGTGAAACAGGGACAGTAGAAGCAGATGAAGCTGGTGCAGAAGGTAGATTTAATCCAGAAGCAGATGGTGTAGGAGTTGTACATGAGTGGGATACAGACTTGTCCATAGACAAAGGTTCTGAAAATGAAAGAAAAGTTGTTTTCCCCCAAAAAAAAACCCTACTGTTCTCACCTACCATACATCAGTTACAGGAGGGCTGGAAATTGAATCTCCACCCCTTCATAAGGTATCATCAGAAGGGTTTTAAGGAAATAAAGTTGATTCCATGAAATATGACCTCCTGTCACCATTTGTTTCTTCTGCTCCTCATCTGAACACTGAAAGGAAATAATGCTCTGGGGAGACAAGGTGTATAAAAATATTTTGAAAGATTATCAGTTTTCCTTCTACTTATTCTAAAATTATTATATAACTGAACTTCCATTTCCCAAAGCAGTTGACCAAAGAGATTGCTATAGAGTAAAATTCAACATAAAACATACATTGGATGACAGCAAATTATACGAGTAGAAAGCAGTAACAATGTAATTTGGATAGTAGCATCAAGGAACAGCAACATCTATAGACAAAATCAACTGATTCAGAACAAACGCTTGTTTGATAAGAGTATCAAAGCTTTCAGAATAGATAACAATATGAACCAAATTGGCACTAGATCAAGAGACAACAGAATTGGGGGGAGGGGGGCGGTCGGGCCTGGATTTAGGTATCTTGTGGGAATGTAGGAACTCCAAACTGATCTGCTTGAACCTGCCCTCGGGCTAAGTCTCATCATCTCCTAATCAGCGGTCGCCAACCGGTGGGCCTCGGCCCACTGGTGGTCCGTGAAAAATTTTGGTGGTCCACAGAGAAATGTCACCCCCAGAGCACCCCCCAAAAGCAATTAATCCAGGCTGCGCCGCCCACATGGCCCGCGGGAACCCTCCCCGCCCACTCACTCCTTACCTGGCAAACTTGCCTGCTAAATTGCTATTTTTCCTTTTTCCAACCATCAGCTGTTCTGCTGTGCTGGGAGATTTAGATTAGCTAGAAAGCAGGAAATCGTTGGATTTCTTGCTTTCTAGCTAATCTTTAGATCTTCGGCTCTGCTTTTAAGCTTTTAAGCAGAGCCGAACCTTCCTTAGGACTGAAGCGTCTATTTGTCAGTGCAGACTTAGGTAGCCGATGGCAGATCGATCAATCTCTGAATTAATCTGTGAGCAACTCAATCTGCCTGCCTGCTTTGGGGTAAAAGTTGCTCTTTTTTTTTATAAAAAATTCAATATTTACATAGATGGTGTGTTGTGAGTTAATTTTGTGAGTTTGCTTGCAAGCAAATTTTATGTGACAGGCTCAGGTAGCCGATCTCACAGATCTCTGAATGAATCTGTGATTCTGTGAGCAACTCAATCTGCCTGCCTGCTTTGCCTGATTTTGGGTAAAAGTTGCTCTTTTTAAATAAAAAATCCAATATTTATATAAATATTTATACTATTTACATCTAAGCCATGCCCAGCCAGTCACATGACCAAGCCACACCCACAAATTAGGCCACGCCCACAGAACTGGCTAAGAAATTTGAATCCCACCCCTGCCTCTGTGTGTTTGTGTGTGTGTGTGTGTGAGAGAGAGAGAGAGAGAGAGAGGAAGAGGGAGAGGTTAGATCAGATCTCTCTCTCTCTCTCTCTCTTCCACCGTCAGTCAAAATTCATATTAGTGGTCCCTGGGATTTAAAATTATGAGTTTGGTGGTCCCTGAGGTCCAAAAGCTTGGCGACCCCTGTCCTACATAGCTCCCCCTCCAACATGGCCTCTTTGAAGCTGCTCTCCTCCTCATGCAGTCTCTTTAAAGTCAAGAGTTTTCCTGGGATCTTGGCAAGGATGGGAGTGAAGCAGTCTCAAAGGAATCTTCCTTCCTCACTTATGAAGCAGCTGGTGAGCCAGGTGGCAGTTGCTGAAACACAGAAACAGTGTTAGACAGTCCCCTCCCCTGCCCAGGAGTTGAAGGCAAGAGGTAGAAGGCCCATGGTAAGCAGGTGCCCCACCTCCACCTGAAGTGATCCAGGGATGCTGGTTAACTCCTTCATTGGGTGGTGCAGAACGGAGGTCTGGAAGCTTGGGTGGTCGTAGTTTATCAGGGAAGCATAGGTGAAACTGGCAAACTAAATCCAGGGTGTGAATGTACTGTGAATTTTCCCAGGAGTGATCAGCAACAGGGTAGCCTTTCCAATGAATCAAATACTAAATATTGTGCGTCTGCGTATAGAGCCCAAAATTTCCTCCACCTCTTATTTTTTCTCCCTCCACAAAGACGGGGGGGGGGGGGGGGGGGGGGGCTTTGCGGGGGGGGGGGGGGGGGCATCCTTAAACAGCAAGTATTGATGAAAGACTGGATGCATTTTCATAGAGGGAGGCAATTGGAGATGGAAGGTGATGGGACTGATCTGTCACAGAACCTTGAATGGCCTCACAAATTTAGTGTCTACCTTCTTGGAAAGTTTTGAGAATGCTAAGAACTTGGTAGAGAGCTATACCTTGTCCTCTACTGCTATTGGTGCCCCCTCCCATCAGTGGGCATCCACAGCCTTTTCGTAAGACTTCTATGCTTGGTTGAGCTGCTGCTCCAATAGGGCTTGGGTAGTGAGCTGCTCCTGTAAGAGGTCAACAGCTCCTGGGACGGTGGAGTCTTTTTTTTTTTTTAAGCTCAGTTATCCAATTTATTTAAGCTATCCTTTTTTTAAAAAAATATTTTTATTAAACATATTTCATCATTTTATATCACAATTACAATCTTTGCAGCGCTCCAGCATCACTGATATTCATATATATATGTATCAGTTACATTCCTTTTTCTTCCTTTAACTATATACATTGCCATTACGTTTAATATACCTCTTAAATTAACTTTATATTTAACCTTTACTTCTATTTTCTAACCATTTACACCATGTGTCCCAGACCAAGTAATATTCCGTTTCCCCTCTTTCTTTTAATTCCAATGTTAGTCTGTCCATCTCCGCACAATCTAACACCTTTTTTTATCACCATTCCGTCAGAGGGCGTGCTGTCTAGTTTCCAGTTTTGTGCATACACAATTCTGGCTGTGGTCGTTATGTGCAATATGATATATTGGATTTTCTTGCTATATTTTCCTCTTATTATCTCTAGTAAAAATAGTTAGGGTTTTAACTCAATTCGTTGACTCATGATTTCTCTAGCCATTTTCTTATTTTGGTCCAATACTTCCTAGCTTCCAGACAAGACTACCACATATGAAAAAATGTGCCTTGATTGTGTTTGCATTTCCAACATTCTGCAGATCTATTTGGGAACATTTTCGCCAATCAAGCAGGGGGTAAATGCCAATGGTAAAACATTTTATACAAATTTTCTTTACAAGCTGCCGACATTGATAATTTATAGTTTTTTCCCCATAGTTTTTCCTAAAGTTCTAATTCAATATTATAGCCAGACTTCTTTGCCCTGGCTATCATGGTTTATTTGACCGTTTCTTCTTCCATTTTAAATCTCAGGAAATAGTTATATACTTTTGTTATCATTTTTTCCTCCGTCCCCTGTATTATTTTATCAAGTTCTTTTTGTTCCTTATAAAAGCCATAGTTTTCTATATGCTTTTTATATCTTGTCCGAATCTGCAGATATGGCCACCAATCTGTATCTATTCCTTGTTGTTTTAACTCTTGGTTTGTTTTTAACTTCCCTTGGGCATCTAATAGTTCTTTCTATCTTACCATTTTATCTAAGTCTAGTACATTTGTGTATATCATGACCTCCATAGTTGATAACCAAACTGGTATTTTGATGTAATGATTTTTCTATATTTTCCCCCAAACCTGTAGAAGGGCATCTCTCACTTGGTGTCTCTGAAAGTAGGTGTGTATTCTACTCTACTTTTCCTTTCCCAAATAAATCCATGCCACCCTAGCTGCAAATCATGGCCTTTTAATGTCAATATCCTTTTATTATGTAAATTTATCCAGTCCTTTATCCACGTGTCACAGCCACTGCTTGATAGTATAACTCCCAATCTGGGAGTCCAAAGCTGCCTTTACTTCTGCTATCTTGTAGTAATTTTAGTTTTATTTGAGGTTTCTTCCCTAGCCAAACAAATTTAATTGTCACTTTATTTAACTCCTTGAAAAATTTATTACCTAATTTTACCGGTATTGTTTGAAATAAGTATAAAAGTTTGGGTAATACATTCAGTTTAATTGTAGCAATTCTTCCAATTAGTGATAATTGCAGTTTCCCCCAAGCATCCAAATCTTTATTTGTTGAGCAATTTATTGTAATTGTTTTCTTTTATTGAGGAGCATCTTGCCATCAACCAGATTCCAAGATATTTAACCTTTTTAGTTACCTGTATTTCAGTGGTGGGATTCAATTTTTTTACTACTGGTTCTGTGGGTGTGGCTTGGTGGGCATGGCAGGGGAAGGATACTGTAAAATCTACACTCAGAAGTGGTATTTGCTGGTTCTCCGAACTACTCAAAATTTCCGCTACCAGTTCTACCTGCTGATACCACCTCTGCTGTATTTCCAGTTTCCTCCCTAATTCCTTTTTCTGACTATCCGTGAAGTTTTTAGCTATTATCTTTGTCTTGTCCTTGTTTATTCTGAGTCCTGCCACCTTAACAAATTCTTCTATTTCTCGTATCAAATTGGTTCCTGTTTCTATGGGCTCCTCTATGAAGAATACTAGGTCATCCGTGAATACCTGTATTTTATATTCTTCTTTTATTTTTATGCCTTTTATTCCTTGTTCTTGTCTAATACGTGCTAGTAATACCGCTAGAAAAAGAATAAAAAGTAAAGGTGACAGGGGACATCCCTGTCTTACGCCCTTGCCTATACTAAATTTCCCTGTTATTTCCCCATTTAGTATTACATTAGCCGCTTGGATAGAGTATATTGCAGATATTATCCCCACAAACTTTCCCCTGAAATTCATAGCTTTTAATTGCTGAATAAGAAACTGCCAATTTAAATTATCAAACATTTTTTGTGCATCTAAGAATATCAATGCTGCTTGTTTCTCAGAATGGGCTTCGTAGAACTCCAGAACATTCATTACCGTTCTCGTATTATTTCTAATTTGCCTTTTTGGTAGGAATCCGT